CAGATGGAATCCGGAGGAGACCTAACCTGTGAGATCTAATCGGTCTATGGGAGGTAATCGGCAGGAGGCGGTCTCTCATTTAACATCTGTAACATAAAACAACAGACATATACTTTTTCCTAAACATCTGCTGAGCTGTGCAAAGAAGTAAACATTGGTAAATTAGTCTCATCTTAAAATCATAAGAAACATACAAAACTTTTATAATAAGATAATTCCATTGAAGTTGGAAATATCCATCTTTAGCTCTTTCAAAATAAATAAATAAATAATGGTGGCTTTCAAAACATTTTTAATTCAACAATTTGAGAGTTTTAGAAACTACTATGATACAGGTACAAACAGGAAAATAACTTCTATTTATTGAAAAAAATATCATTCTAAATTATTAGACAGTACATTAAATACTTTTTAATGAGTCATTAAGAGTAAGATAATCTCAAGTGTTTTTTCTGTCCAAATACTACTACTACCATCACTAATAATAATTATGATATCTACAACACCATCAAACATCCACATTTGCCTATCCCAGGTCCTTGGAAAGGACTCAATGGGTAGATAAAAATGCCAATTCCAGTCTGAACATCTGGCTGACTGTGTGACAAACCATAATAATAACAATAATAATAACAACAGATAAAGCAGATTATAAAATCTGACAATGGCTAAGAGCAGCAAAATTAAAGAAAGAAACAGGCTATCTAATTTTTTGGAGTATAAGATGCACCTTTTCCTCTCAAAAAAGAGGGTGAAAATCTGGATGCGTCTTATACACTGAATACAGCATTTTTGGTCTCCCACCCACTCCCCCTTTACAAAAATGGACATGCAGAGGGTTTGGGAGGCTTGCAAATGAGTTTTTGCTCATTTTTGCCCCCCCCCAGCCCCCAAGAGCACCCTACAAGCCTCCCAAAGCTCTGCATGCCCGCTTTTTGTTTTTTTTTTTTCAAAAAATGAGGCGTGCAGAGGGTTTGGGAGGTCTTCAGAGTGCAAAACCTTTTTTTTTAATTTATCTCTTCAAAATCATGGTGCGTCTTATACTCTGATGTGTCTTATACTCCGAAAAATACAGTAATTCTGGCTGCATAACACCAAACCTTAAGAACAAATGAATATAAAGCCAGAATTTTAAAAACAGCAACAGACAGCAAATGCTGCCTCTGCAAAAAGGCTGAAGCAATGATATACCTAGTTAGCTGCTGCAAGAAGATTACACAGTGACTACAAACAACAGCATAACGTCACACCAAAAGGGCATTGAAATGCCTAAAAGAGTTCGAAAAGCGATCT